AGAAAGAGTGCAACGTTATAAAGTTACATGTAGGCTATTGCAAAATACATAATGATTTGAGGACCAAGTTTGTAGTCAAAGTATGGGCAGGCCATAGTCAATGTAAAGCATATTATTGACGTTTAGTCCCTATTAGTGAATGTGCCATATAACTTTTTATCCGCTGTTATCGGTGGCCCTGTTTACTAGCCTGCGTGTTCACGACAGGCTCCGCTGTGGAGGACGAGCTGTGGAGGGAGGGCTGTAGCGCAGCAGAGAGCAAGGGGGTGGGACCTGTGAGTTGTGCTTGTTCAAATTTTCAGGCTAAGTCAACGTTTTCTCCAAACTCCCTACTGCAGCTTTAACAGATATTATGCAACTAAAAACATATTTTTTTCCTCTCGTGATAAGTCATTCCAAAAATCATGGCAACGGATGTTCAAAGGTTTATGTATATATCACAGCCACCGCACTAGCCAGTATTTTTAATCGAAGGAGACGTAGGCGTGTTATCCAAGCATTAATGACAAGGAAAGCCCCTTATACTTGGGAGCAGCCACGAATGAGGTGTTTCTGGGTGTTTCTCCCTCCCATCTGCTTCAAGGTCTTGATAAATTGTGGCATTTCTATGTTGTTTAGAATCCAGTATTCCCATAATTCTTTTGTCTTTTCTTCTGTACAAACATACCATGCCTTCTTTAAAGAATAATAATGAACTTAATGTTAGAGGTGTAATAAGGATATATTTCTTCTTAGAGTTTAACACGATTTTTAAACATGAGTAATTAATTTCAAATTGGTCTAAAACATGCAGTGGGCTTGACTAGATTAAAACTTATGGTACCATTTCTAGTCATTGATACTGACTAGAAGTAATTTTGCAACTACATGTATGTAAACTACCTGTCAGAGTCTTTGAAAACTGTCTGCTTAATAGCTGCTAACACTTTATTTTCCTTTCACTTTATCAACCAAACTTATTTTCAGGCAGCAACTACACTTTTTACTTTTTCAATTTTTGAGAATAGAGCATATTTTGTTTGTATCTATCCAGTTGTACAGAATTTTTGATGTCTGTGTGTGCTGGGATGACTACTCACTCATGATATAATCTTTCCCTTACTCAATGTTGTTGTATCTTTAATAGGCACTGAACAGCAGCTTGTCTCTATATGCATATAAAAGATGGAAGCATAATACTGATTGTAACAAAAAGTTAAAGTTTTAAATGGGGTACAATTAAACTGAAATGGGTGCAGTGGGACGAACTAAAATCTTAATGGAGTACACTCATAAAAAAATATAATAGATTGCCAATGATATTTTAAATGGTGTATTCATTAATTATTGTAAATAATAAATGAATTATGTAACAGATTTATATATATATATTTTAAGTTCTTCCAATTTAACAGAACTTTGTTGCAGATTGCCAATGCCCAAATTAAAATTCTTCGCTTATCGACTGATATTGTCAGTGCAACAGTGTTTTATTTGTTTTCTTATGTAACATAGCGGCTGTGAAAGGTCTGTTCATGGTTGTGAAATTGTAAAGTCAGGATAATTTGTCTTGGATAAGCAAAATGAGACTGTCTGTGTCTTTGGCTGGTGTTACGTGGCCGATGTTGGAGACACTTTCTCCTTTTGGCCCCAAATAGATCTCAGGTTGCAGGGGCTATTCTGTTTCACAAAGCTGGGCACGTTTGTCTGGGTAACTCAAATCATTGGGCCGTGAGCTGTGGAAAAAGACTGAGTCATCCGGCTGCAGATCTGCGCTCTGGGAAACAGCGTGGACACCAGTGCAGGATGATACACTCTATGTCAGCCGTACTGTATGTGCTAGACCATCCACAGCCATGTAGTCGCTTGGCAGGCACCCACACGCTGAAATTCTCACAGTATTGAGCCAAGACGTAAAGCCAAGACATACAGCTTCACCCTCAGAATCCAGTTCTCCTGCACTTTTCTCCGGATTGCTCCAGAAATGTAAAAACTGGGTATCTCATAGACTTTCTGTTTAATTTGATGAGCATGTAGGGTGCTGTAGAGTAAGGTTATGGTTAGTAGCCAGGCTAATGTTACTGGTGAGGAAAGTGCAAGTTCATTATGAAAGAGATCCAGTTACTCATTAGCTTCAACAACAGAAAGATTAAGTTGCATGATGTTGTCTGTCAAGTTCCTTTAGTAAAAGCCATGCTGCCACATACTGTCTTTGGCCCAGGCATGTGTCCATATGTTGTATTTTGAAAATTGCCCTTGGAGTGCTGGAAAAAAAATGAGTGAAACTTTTGAAAGTCCTTGAAAAAAGTGCTTGAATTTCACTCTCAAAAGGTTGTATGAACCCTGAAATAAATAATGTAAAAACAATAGACTATTTCTTTAACCTGTTCTGAGCTCGTGCTGTGCTGGCTATTATTGGTCCGAGCTGATAAACGGTCTGGGCTGCGCAGGTCAATCGAGTAGCGTGGTTTCATTCCGTTTTAGTTTCGTTTGCTGTTTCTCATATGCAAAAAATAATGGCATCTTAGTTGGGCAACGTGGTGGTGGCACCAGTGCGTGACACCTTGTCATGACGCAAGTCATGAATGTGAAGGAGGTTTTGTGCATGTTTATGACAACTGTCATTAAGTGTCATTCGCTCAATTATGACATTTTTAATGCAAATATAACATTGTTTGAGATGTCTTTGTTATGACACCTTGATATAAACCAATACATCATAACCTGTCAGTGTCTTTGTCATTATGAAGGTGTCATGTCAGTCTTATGCACACCCCTTCAAGTAAAGTGTTACCGATTAGGTAGAATGTTTCCAGAAAGTATTTTGAAAGTGTGATAAGACAATGATACAAGCATACATGTTAAAGTTACATGTCTCCTCTGGCCTAAACAATGCTCTTCAAGTCTGTGTGCTATATATCGCTACAGTGTTTTTAAGTGTGTAGCAGGGCATTTTGAAGACTGCTGTGCTGGTAGGTAGTCACTAATGGAGATGCCCCCATCTGTGGCATGCTGCCAGCCAGACCATCAAACTTTCATTGTGTAACTCACACAATGCTGCATTTGTTTATAGGTCTCTCTCTTTGCGTCCTGCTTTCGGGAAGCACTGTCATACGCTGTAGGTTTGAGGAAGTGAATCTTCTAGAGAAATCATATCTTTTCTATCTCCATGAGTTTCTGTTTTGTCTGCATTTCTTTATTGTGTTGCATCTTGTCCACTCCTTGTTTATCTCATGTCTGGTAAATGGAGGCTTCAACCCACATGGATGTAACTACAGAGTCGCTGTCGATACGGATTGCGGTTGGTCGACTTGTTCTAAAGCTGAACGTTAAGCATCCATCCATCTTCATCTATCCTCCAACTCAAATGCAGCTGCATCTCATTCCATTCTGTGTTTACTTCCAGTTATTCATGAGACAGACAGTTCCTCTGTTCATCTGGCCTGATAATCTATGGAAAACAGTGGGTTTGGACTGTGCCCTTACTTGTCTGTCACTCTTTATATGGATGACGTGACCTACATGTCATTCCCGCAGCCACCTCTGCTCTAGGGGTCAGGGAAGTCCGGACGCCATCTGACCCTTTCTTCACAACAGGGCTCTCTTCGCCCCCTTAGTCGTTCCAGTTTCTCTTTCCCCTGAGTCTCCTGGCAGTTAGTAGTAGGTCACAGGAAGTCGGCTGGGTCTTTACTGTCTTTTGGAGCTCAAGGCCACACATGGCTCCGCTCCCTCAAGACTTTAGTACCTTAAATCACTTAACCTAAATATAAGAGCAGATGCAACACACAGCATCAGTCTACTGATGTAAACAAAGGTGCTGTGGAACATTCACCTTCACAAGTGTATATAAATACGGCTGGTTGTATTGTGCTCTATCAATGCTCTCCTATCCTGTATATGGAGTTCCAATTAAGAGCTTGTTTATCTAATCATCAATCATAACATGAGGCTGTTTAGCCTACTCCTGTGACAACTCATCTAGCATCACTCCCTCACTTCAACTCAAACTTTAGGATGTGTTCACACTTGGCAGGTTTTGTTAGATTAAAACGAACTCTGGTGTTCATTTGAAAAAGCGAGGGCTGCCATCCGAACCCTGGTGGACACCAAACAAGCTGAAAAGATTGGTCTCAGTTCGCTTCCAAACGAACTCTGGTGCGGTTCGGCTTGACTGCAACATGGATCAAAGACATCTAAACGAAACAAAAACGGGACGTAATGTCACAAGATGAATGCTCAAGCACACCTGGTTCTTCTCGTCAAAGTCGTGATGTTGATCATAACAGTTCAGTACAGGTGTCAGAATTGCGTCTTCTTGCAGCAGTGTGTGCAATGGTGGAATTCCTGGCACTGATTTGACACATTTTCTAAGCTCTTTGTGAGTTCTCAACTGGTTAAAAATACCATCATATGTACGCACATGTTACCGGTCCTACTCGACCCACTCTGAGTGGGACTGGAACCTGGGTCTCCGGCGTGGGAGGTGGGCACGCTAACAAGACTGCTAGTGGCGCGCCCGCCTCCCACGCCGGAGACCCGGGAGTGAGGTTTAGGGGGGGTGAGTGTAATGGACGTAGGCCAGTAAGAGCTGTGTGTGTAAACCTCACTTCCCTGATCTCAAATCTCGCTCTAGCGACTGACTTTAGATGCTGTAGTCTTTAGCGTCCCTGTTAGTGTGCCCGCCTCCCACGGTGGAGACCCCAGTTCGAAACCGAAAAGTTACTCTGTTAAAAATGTAACCAGTAATTTAAATATCACAACATAAGTATTTTAGCCTGACTACTTTACCTAAGGCAAATTATGCAATTAATTTGTAATTTAATCAAATTTTTTATGATTCATTAAATGATTCAGTAATATTTTTTAAATTAATTCACAGGATGTTTTTATGCATTGAGAGATAAGTGAATCGCAGCAAAGACATTAAACGTTTTATCATATTTCCAACATATTCCTGTTAACTTTGCTTATTTATTCAGGTTTCTGCTCTATGATCATTTGTTTTTGTATTTGTTCCTCAGGAGAGGAAAGAAGCACAGTATTGTCCTGAGAACACAGCTGTCTGTCAGAGTCCATGCCTGCATAGGTGAGTAACTAGATACTGTTTTCATTTAAATAAACTATGAATGGCGAGAAAAACATTTTATACTCCATCTTCACCCATTTAAATTTCTTGCTCAGTCAGCAGATTCTAGCTGCATCAGATTTAGGAGTTATTTTCTCATTTGTTGCTTGTTGAATGACGGATGTGTAAATTATACTTACTGAGGCCCTTGCTTGATTTTTACTGTGTGGTAAAGATTTCCTGTTGTTAATATGCCCTCACGCCGCAACATTTATGATTTAGTTTAAACTTGTTCCATGCTTGATTTCTCAATCAATATAAAACAGCTAATGCAGCAACTTTATATGAATGCCAGGTTAGTGTTACACACACACACGCACGCACACACACACTCACCTATGGAAAAAACATATTGGAGTTGAAAACATTTTAAATTTAATTCCATTTTGGTTGAAGAGGGAATGTTTATACGACAACGATGTACTAATAAAGGAAAAGTTTTTCCTTTGTGTTTTTCGTGTACAGACGACAATGTTGTCAAAACGATCCCCGTTCACATGGATCCGTGAAAACGACTAAAACGCTGTATTATGCTGCCAGGCCAGTAGTTGGTCTTTTTGTTGTTTACATGGAGAAGATGACGGTATTGTTGTCAGAAACTTCACTTTAAAATCAGTTTTCAAAGGCTTGCATTTTCAGGCCCCCAAAACACTGTTGTCGTTTAAATGAACGGCCAAAACGCATAACAAGTTGTACATTTTTTGTTGAAAACAGTGTCATGTAAACGCCCCCTTAATTTATAGTTTGTGTGATCAGTTTCAATCTATCACATTAATTATCTCACGTAGTTACTGTATATTTCTTCACAATCTCATTGTTTATCTCATGTCCCTAAACCCTGTTGACAGAATCAGGCTTCATTACCTCCATAAGCCATATCCCAGATTAACGTCTGTGTCATTGCGTGAAAGCAGGGCGGCTACGGCTATCTATGTATCACAAAGGATTAAGTGTCACAGACAGCACCCTCAAATCCCATTAAGGATAAAAACTGTGCAGTTTCTATGGAATTGTAGTATGCATGTAACTTACTTCTGTGGTTTATGTTACCTTGGTGACTCGTAGTCTTGTACAGCACAACCATGAACCGTATATGGACCGTCTGATGCATGTTGGACATAAAAATAGTTTTTTACCAGTGCACTTGGAAGTTACCAGGCTGCTACAATTGCTGGGTTTCCATCCATCCATGTATTATTTTATTTTGTTTGTACATATTCAATACAGAAAACGTACATACAAAAAACTTTTGCTGTAACTTCTCCAGTAGCTACTACTTTCCTTTCTATTTTTATTTGGCAGCAGTTCTACAATGTCTGTGAATGTATTGGCAGTAGTAAGTCTTGATACTTGCTCTGCAACAGCAGCAGTGTAGCAGATCGATTTTTCTCTTGTTTGAATAGGCGGTTCTTAGCTGGAATAATCTGCAGTGTGGTGCAAGGATGCTGTCAAAACCCCACCCCCTGGTTCCATCGAGATTTTCCTATGGAGTTTTTGTCACGGCACGGGTTGGGAAAAAGGTGTGAGGACTCAAATGCAAACAATGGGTATTTAATAGGAAAATAATAACATATAAACAAGAACAAAAACTCCCTCGTGGGGGAAAACAGGCAGGATACCAGAAACACTAAAACACAATCAACAAGAACCAGGGTAACATGTATAACGAACCAGCACAGTACTGAGAACACAAGGAGATTAAATAGAGAGGCAAACAAAAGAGCTAACGAACAGACAGGTGGGGCAAATGAACCAATAATGAGATAACAAGATGGGCGGGGAATACAATGACAAGAGAACACATGGTATAAAACAACAAACACCCAAGTGCAACACAAGACAGGACAGGCATGTGACATTACCCCCTCCCTACGGAGCGGCTACCAGACGCTTCATCAGGCGGGACGGGAGGAGCAAACCAGGGCGGGACAGGAGGAGCAAACCAGGGCGGGACAGGAGGAGCAAACCAGGGCGGGACAGGAGGAGCAAACCAGGGCGGGACAGGAGGAGTAAACCAGGGCGGGACAGGAGGAGTAAACCAGGGCGGGACAGGAGGGACAGACCAGGGCGGGACGGGAGGAACAAATTTCTTAGTCCTGGGAGACCCGGGCAAAACCCAAAGTTCATCAGGTGGCCAGGGTGGTGCAGACCCCTCGGGCGGCCAGGGCGGAGCAGACCTTTCGGGCGGCCAGGGCGGTGAAGACCCTTCGGGCGGCCAGGGCGGTGAAGATCTCTCGGGCGGCCAGGGCGGTGAAGACCCTTCGGGCGGCCAGGGCGGTGAAGATCTCTCGGGCGGCCAGGGCGGTGAAGACCCTTCGGGCGGCCAGGGCGGTGAAGACCCTTCGGGCGGCCAGGGCGGTGAAGACCCTTCGGGCGGCCAGGGCGGTGAAGACCCTTCGGGCGGCCAGGGCGGTGAAGACCCTTCGGGCGGCCAGGGCGGTGAAGACCTCTCGGGCGGCCAGGGCGGTGAAGACCCTTCGGGCGGCCAGGGCGGTGAAGACCTCTCGGGCGGCCAGGGCGGTGAAGACCCTTCGGGCGGCCAGGGCGGTGAAGACCCTTCGGGCGGCCAGGGCGGTGAAGACCCTTCGGGCGGCCAGGGCGGTGAAGACCCTTCGGGCGGCCAGGGCGGTGAAGACCCTTCGGGCGGCCAGGGCGGTGAAGACCCTTCGGGCGGCCAGGGCGGTGAAGACCTCTCGGGCGGCCAGGGCGGGGGAGCAGCAGCAGGCACCGGCTCGGGAGCAGCAGCAGGCACCGGCTCGGGAGCAGCAGCAGGCACCGGCTCGGGAGCAGCAGCAGGCACCGGCTCGGGAGCAGCAGCAGGCACCGGCTCGGGAGCAGCAGCAGGCACCGGCTCGGGAGCAGCAGCAGGCACCGGCTCGGGAGCAGCAGCAGGCACCGGCTCGGGAGCAGCAGCAGGCACCGGCTCGGGAGCAGCAGCAGGCACCGGCTCGGGAGCAGCAGCAGGCACCGGCTCGGGAGCAGCAGCAGGCACCGGCTCGGGAGCAGCAGCAGGCACCGGCTCGGGAGCAGCAGCAGACACCGGCTCGGGAACAGACACCGGCTCGGGAACAGACACCGGCTCGGGAACAGACACCGGCTCGGGAACAGACACCGGCACGGGAACAGACACCGGCTCGGGAACAGACACCGGCTCGGGAACAGACACTAGAACAAAAACAGTCACAAAGACAGACACAAACACAGAAACAAATACTGGGTCCGAGACCGACATGTGCTCCAGCTCTGGAACAGGCACTGTCTCTGCTACCGGCTCTGGAACGAGCACCGGCTCCGGCTCAGGAACGGGCACCGGCTCCGGCTCCGGCTCAGGAACGGCTGAGACTGGCATATTCAACATCTGAGCCAGACGCTCCAGGTATTCCCAGTTCAGAGAGGCAGAGGAAACAGGGACAGTCTCTCGCTGTGCAGACGGGACGGGGACGGTCTCTCGCTGGGCAGACGGGACGTGAACGGTCTCTCGCTGGGCAGACGGGACGCGAACAGTCTCTCGCTGGGCAGACGGGACGTGAACAGTCTCTCGCTGGGCAGACGGGACGTGAACAGTCTCTCGCTGGGCCGACGGGACGTGAACAGTCTCTCGCTGGGCAGACGGGACGTGAACAGTCTCTCGCTGGGCCGACGGGACGTGAACAGTCTCTCGCTGGGCAGACGGGACAGGAACAGTCTCTCGCTGGGCAGACGGGACAGGAACAGTCTCTCGCTGGGCCGACGGGACGTGGACGGTCTCTCGCTGGGCAGACGGGACGGGAACGGTCTCTCGCTGGGCAGACGGGACGGGAACAGTCACTCGCTGGGCAGACGGGACGGGAACTGTCTCTCGCTGGGCCGACGGGACGGGAACAGTCTCTGACTGGGCAGACGTGACGTGGACAATCTCTGACTGGGCAGACGCAGGTCTCCTTCTCCTCCTCCGTTTCGGGACCACTTTACTCGGGACCACCGGAACATGGACCACCGGAACTGGGATCACCGGACTAGGGCCCACCGGAACAGTCACGGAGGAGGTCTTTCCTCTCCTCCGTCGTCCCTTCTGGCGAGATGCTGGTTCCGGATGGGACAGGACCCACGGCGAATGGTGTTCTGGGCTGCACGTCACCGGATCATGGTCGAAGGAAGACCGAAGTTGAGACTGAGTCCGGGACTCCCCTCTAGTACTTCCTCCTCTGCGAGCTCCACGGGTCCCCGAAAATCTTGCCAGACGCTCTCCTCTAAAGGACTCTCTGTCGTCGAACGAAAAGTCCTTAGGAAATCTGAGCGTCGTGGCCTCCTCCCTTTGCCGAGCCATAAAAGCAAACGCCTGCAGAATGTTCATGTTACTGGACCCATTAGGGGACAGAGTCATTCTGTCACGATCGCTAGCGGAGAATTGGGTGGATCCAAAAGTAGCAACATGATAGTCAGGGCAATCCAAGTCATCGTCATCCATGCAATCGTCATAATCCCAACAATCAGAATCCTCCTCACCCATTGTGCTGAATCCTCAGAGGGCTGGTTCGTTCTGTCACGGCACGGGTTGGGAAAAAGGTGTGAGGACTCAAATGCAAACAATGGGTATTTAATAGGAAAATAATAACATATAAACAAGAACAAAAACTCCCTCGTGGGGGAAAACAGGCAGGATACCAGAAACACTAAAACACAATCAACAAGAACCAGGGTAACATGTATAACGAACCAGCACAGTACTGAGAACACAAGGAGATTAAATAGAGAGGCAAACAAAAGAGCTAACGAACAGACAGGTGGGGCAAATGAACCAATAATGAGATAACAAGATGGGCGGGGAATACAATGACAAGAGAACACATGGTATAAAACAACAAACACCCAAGTGCAACACAAGACAGGACAGGCATGTGACAGTTTTATTATGGGCTTTTTGAGTATGAATAAAAGAAAGCTTGTGGTGAACATAACTTGAAGATACTTTGACATTTTGT